GAGTTGCTTTGTTATTTTTATTACAGTGGAACTTCGATTTAACGAACCTCTATATAACGAAGTCCTCGGTATAAAGAACGATTTTCATCAGCCCGGCCAAAATTACAGTAAAATGTGTGGAACAGAAACTCGATTTAACGAAATCATCGTTATAACGATCGTTATAACGAACACAATCCAGAAACGCAAACGTAAAATATACCTCGATATAACGAATAAATGTCAGCATGTGACCGAAAGATAACTAAAGATGAATGCGAAAGGATAAAACATGTGTCGAGGTGATAACGAGGTTTTCGATATAACGAACAAATTTCCCCAGTCCCTTGGCACCTATTTAAATCGAGGTTCCACTGTATACAATTGCAGTTGCAAAAAGTGAGAACTTCACAAAATTGCTTCAGTTACCAGGTAGTATTCCTTGATGTGTCTGCGCATGGCAACGTTCAACTGGTTGGAAACTGCGCCGGCGGTGTACTGATTGTTACATCCGGGTCATGTATCGTTGACTGCCAGTGCGTTCGACTACAAAAAATTGGTGCGAAGGATTAATTTAAGACCTAAAACTTTATACGTTCTATTTTAGGTCCTTATCTTACTAAACGAATTTTACAAAGTTTAAACTTAAAGAGCTTTAAGTTTCCATAAATTCTGTAACCACGAGCGTATCTCCACAAATGTTGTGCACTTGTGGTTTTTCAACTATACAACCTTGTAATGTGCTTCGTTTGGTTGCTTCAATAAAAACAACAATTATAAATGTTTTAAAAGCTTGTTAAATATGTTTTTGAACTGTTATGTACCTTTTCCCTGTTGGTAATCCTTAATCCAGAGCATAAACTACACCTACCTCTGCTAAAGGCTTGGGATCGACATTGCTGGTTTTCGAAAATGGAAAATTGCGGATTTGACTTTAATTTACAGATCCCTGTTCAGCTATAACTCATGCATTGAATGTGCTTAACCTTATACCCCTGAATAGTGTAAATTATAAGCTCTATGACTGAAGGAAATAATATCATTTGATGTTAAACTGTAAATGAACATTAACTGTTAAAAGTGTACTTACGGTGCCTTTAAAGAGGAGTTCAAGGGTCGTCTCTTGACCACAGCTGGAGCGTTTACACTTGACTATAAATCGCTCACAATCCTTGAGAAAAAAGAAGGTACAGATTAGGGTTAGGGTTTCTATTTGTGTTTTTACCTAATCACCTGTTTCACAAAGACCATGATGCCCCTTGTTTATCTGCCGCCCTCAAATTTTGTGTTCCGGTCTTGTGGATTTTAGAGCATGCCGATTGTCATAGACACAATCCACTTTACGTTAAAACGAAACGTCTCAGTCCAGATTGAGTGATCGAGACGGAGGCGGTTCTAACTTTTGAGTCTGTGGATAAAATCCTATGGTGTTACCATTCACATGAAATCTCTTCAGCAGTACTTTCACATGGTACTATATATTAAGTATGTAGTTCTAACTTTTGAGTCTGTGGATGAAATCCCACGGTGTTACCATTCAAATGAAACCTCTTCGCAGCAGTACTTTCACATGGTACCATTTATTTAGTATGTAGTTCCAACTTCTAACTTCCTTTCATTTATTTTATTTTATTTCATTATTTATTTTAGGCTAATGATTTATTTTCTTCTATTTCGGAGATATTAGCTTAAAGAGCTACACTGCAAATCTGAGGATAAATAAAGGTGATAATGTATGATGCTGCTGATGATTTGAATCCGTAGACAAAATCCTATGGTGTTACTATTCAAATGAAACCTCTTCAGTATTCTCATATGCTGTTATCTGGTTTTCATTATATAACAAAATTAAATTGGGAAATTTTGTAAAATTTTGACTTTGATCATTTCTGGGGAGGGGGGGAAGTGTTCATAATCAAACCGACCTTAAACCTTTCCTCGTCTGTCATCTGAGCCTGGCCACCAAGCAACGCGTCATTTTCATCATCATGAAGGGCAGAGCTGCCACGATAACCAGAAGGATCCAGGCCTGCGCAGCAAAGAAAAAAAAAATGGTGATAAACTTTTTAAACATTCAGTTTCACGGGAATCTCAATGTACAGTAAAAACCCGTTAATTCTACGGTCACGGAAATCTCGTCGTCTTTACAGGGTTGTCGTATAACGATGCTGATCGTTGAAAAGAAAAACCAACAATAAAAAAATTCAGTGCAGCCGTTTGAATGGTAAGAAATAAAGAAAATAACGACAAACGAACCGTCGCGCAAAACACAATTTGACATTGCTCTTGGAAATCACGCATTGCGCACGCAACTAATAGATTTGAAGGTTGCGCTGACTTCCAAAATTAACTGTAGGCTCTGAACCAATGAGACGAGAGATAGCAAGTAGAGAACTTAAGAAAAACTGCTTCCGGTGTAGGAGTAGAGGCAAAGTTGTCCGTGCCAGAAGCCACAAATACGGATAGACCGCCTTCGAGTTTTTACCCTAAAGAAAGAGCTAGCCGAGGCTTCTAGAGAGAATAAAACTGTGATATCAGGCCATTCCGTTGTTGCAATATACAAGAAAACACTAAAGAAGTTAATACTTTAAACAGACTTATTATTCATTCAAAATATTTCCCCAATTCTGATTGGCTAAAAGCACACGTTTAATTCACCATAACCAGTTACTGATGACCAAATTTGGAAGAATTTTGACTTTAACGAGGAAATGACGTCAAAAATGCAGCGTTTTCGCAGGTTAAGGCACCGTTAACCGAGAAGACCTGGGGACGAGGATGAGTTGTTTTGGTTGCGAACTTAAAAAAATGGAGGACATTTCACTCGTTTCAAGAGTAAGAACTAGGCGAAAAAATAGCTGAAAACACAGCAAGAACAGCAAGAAGACAACTCGAAGGGCGACATCTGCTATTTAGAGAATATTTGCGGAGCTGGACAAACCTAAACGTACACTATCGAAGATGAACTGAACATCGATGGATCGATGGAGGTAAGCATGTTTTAGCTATGTTTTTAAACTTGGAATTATTTTGAATGAATAATAAAACAGTTATTGAATTCGGCTTTCGTATCCTATGAAGAATTATGGAGATCTCGTAGGGTGTTATCCGCCTCGGCCTACGGCCTCGACGGATAACACCCTCCTCGATCTCCATAATTCTTCATAAGATACTCAGCCTCATTCATTAACTGTTAATTAATCAGTGGACACATTTTGTTTAGATGCATTGCAAGCAGTTTCTAGCCGCGGAGTTAAATCGGTAATTTACTTACCTAAACACTGGGCAATATGAGCTGCATCGGTGCCGTCGATGGGATCGCACAAACGAGCTACAACTGGGTGAACCTGATTAGCGAGATAGTACTTCACATCTAGGATTTAAATACGTCAAGGAGTATAAAACAACCGACTTGCATTGGTAACTCGATTTGAATTGTTAATTAATACCCTGGGAATTATGCATATAAGACTTAAAAAAAAGAAGCTACCACTGTTTTAATCCACCACTCTTCTCGAGATCGCGGAAGGTAAGAGACTGTTCGTCCACCCTCCCATCCAACGAAAAAGTCGGAGGTGATCCTGCCCGAGTTGCTTTCGCCCTGTTTTAGGCTTATTCCCACGCTTTATTATCATGTCATAAATAACAATAGAATATCCAGGGTAAAACCGACCTTCGTCTTTAAGCACCCATCGTAGCCTGAGAAAACAGCAGACATTTCGTGACGCCACCAATGACGTCTGCGGGACGAACGCAGAGATTTTATGCTAAGGACGCGTTGCTAAACAGATCTGGGTACTGCTTCTGATTGGTTGGAAATTTACTTCATCCAATCAGAAGCTAGACCTGGGTAGTGACACGTCATCAGTATGGAATTTCTGCGCTCGTTTCTTCTGACGTCATTTCGCGCGAAAAACAGTGGTGTCGTCGCGAAAAGTGTCTTTTTGGTTTTGTTCTTAATAACGGTAATAAATTTAAAGGATACCGATCTTGAGTGTTTCAGATTTGCAGAACTCGTCCGGATGATAAGGTCGCTGACTTGCAGCTAAGGTGGAACCGTCCTAAAGGAAACAGTTTGGAAAAAAGATTATTTGACTAAGCGATTGGTAAAATTCCAGGGTTTCCTTCTTTGTTTATGTTGTGCGATATCCTATGGGACCTTTGCAGCTGGCCATTCACGTGGTACGAAAGTAGTATAGGAAATGCTGCCATGCAACTCACCTCACTTTTTTTCTGTCTCACTTCACTTTTTTTCTACATCACCTCACAATGTCGCTCCCTTGTTCACTCATTTCGCAAAACTCATTCGTTTCGCTCACTTCGTTCATTTCGCTCGCTTCGCTCGCTCATTCACTCCGTTCGCTCAACTCACTCGTATTGCTCCATTCGTTCACAAGAGTCGCTCCATTGCTCGGAGATGTAGAAAAAAAGTGAAATGATTCAGAAAAAAAGTGAGGTGAGTTGCATGTCAGCATTTCCTATACTACACTACAGTAGTATAGTTTACTCTCCACTCTCCACTCTCCACCCCCCCCACCCCCCTTACTCTATGATTAGATAAAACTTTATTTAGAAACAGAAAATATAAAATTGAATTGAATTAAAGAAATAATATAAACTTATTATAAGAAGCCATGACAAATAAGTTAGATAAACAATTTCAGAATATGTCTTTAGATAAAATAAAACAATTAGTAGCGAAAGAAAAAGAAGGACTTAGGAAAGATTATAAGGAATTAGAAGAAAAGAGAAAATTAATTAAAAAATATAAAAAAATAAAAGAATTTAGAAAAAAAGTTAAACAAGGAAAAGTTATAAAAAAGAAACCCCCACCTTCCAAAAAGATAAAAACATTTGAAGATTATTTTGAGGAATGTATAAAAAATAAAAAGATTCCTAAAGATACTCCTTCTTATTTACGAAAAGCTCTTGAGAGAGCTATAAATGAATATGACCAAGGAATTGAAATAGAGAAATCAGCTTTAGATGAATTTGCTAAAAAATATATTATTAAGGGAGAACCTGGTATTACTCCCTCAAAGTTTTTTGAAAATAAATTATCTATTCTTAAAGATTTTCTTAGAAATCATCAAAATATTAAAGTAAGGTTTGTTTTAGTTTGTATGATGGAAAAAAAAGGTGATTATAAATTAAGTTTTAAAGTTCAGGATAAAGCATATTTTCATTCTAATACATATATTAATTTTAAAACAAGTGATGTAAAAGAATTACTTAGTAAACTTATTAGAGAAATCACTGACAAAATTTATAAATATCAAGAAAATGGAAGTGGATGGTATTTTAAAGAAGTTGTTCAACTTGAAATTCATACCACTGAATTTAATCCTATGAAAGGTTCTTCTTATATTCCTCTTCCAGATTGGATTATGAGAAAAAAAGCAATTGTTAGTATTCGAAATAAAGATGAAAAATGTTTTCTTTGGTCAGTACTTCGTTATCTTCACCCAAGAGAAAAAAATGATTGTCGTTTGAAAGATTTAGAAAAGTATGAATTTTCACTTAAAACTAAAGGAATTACTTTTCCAATGAAAATAAAAGACATTACCAAATTTGAAAAACTTAATCCAGATCTTCCAGGAATAAACGTTTTTTCTGTAGATGATAAAAAGACTATTTATCCTTTGAGAGAGGTAAGTAAAGGTTGTAAAAATACTATTGATTTATTTTTATATGAAAAAGATGGTAAATTTCATTATTCACTAATTAAAAACTTATCTCGACTTATACGTAGTCAAATTACTACAAGAACAGATGAGCCAATTCATATTTGTAAGAGATGTTTTTGTCATTTTACAAAGGAAGAATTATTAGATAATCATATCAAATATTGTAGTAACAATGCAACAGCGATTGTAAAAATGCCTGAACCAAACACAATGTTATACTTTAAAAATTATCACAAAAAACTTCCTGTTCCTTTTGTAGTTTATGCAGATTTTGAATGTTTTACCAAACCAATGAATAGTTGCAGTCCTAATCCAAAAGACTCTTATAATTACAACTATCAAAAACATGAACCATCAGGATTTTGTTTTTATGTAAATGGAATAGTTGATAAAAAAATAAAACCAATAATTTATACAAAAACTTCTGAAGATGAAGATATATCAAAAGTATTTGTAGAAAAACTTGCAGAAGTAACAAAAGGAATTTATAATGATTTTTATCAAAGACCAAAACCTCTTAGACTAACTCAGAAAGAACAAAAATCATTTGAGAAAGCAGTTAACTGCCACATTTGTAGTCGCGAATTAAAAAAAGATAAAGTTAGAGATCATTGTCACTTTACAGGTCAGTATCGCGGAGCAGCACATAACAAATGTAATCTTATGTGTCGTAAACCAAGAGTACTACCAGTTATATTTCACAATCTTCAAGGATATGACGCACATTTGTTTATAAAACAACTCGCTAGATTAGAAGGAGATTTAAATTGTATTCCATCTACAGAGGAAAAATATATTTCTTTTTCAAAAAATATTAAAGTTGGTGAGTATTATTGCTTAAAACTTGGAAAAATGTGTCCAATTAATTTTGAAATACGATTTTTAGATTCATTCAAGTTTCTTCAAACATCACTTGCCAATCTTGTTTCAAATTTGTCAGCAGATGATTTTCATAATACAAATCATGTATTCAAGAAAAATGTAGATCTACTAACTCGTAAGGGAGTTTATCCTTATGATTATGTTTCATCTCTAAATAAATTATCAGAAACACAACTTCCACCCAAAGAGGAATTTTACTCTCAACTAAATGATGAAGATATAAGTGATGAAGATTACCAACATGCAATTAAAGTCTGGAATACATTTGAATGTAAAACAATAAGAGATTATCACAATCTTTACCTAAAGTCTGATGTATTACTGCTAGCAGATGTATTTGAAAACTTTAGGAAAACTTGTCTCAAACATTACAAACTTGATCCAGTTCACTATTACACTTCTCCAGGTCTAGCTTGGGATGCATGTCTAAAAGAAACAGGTCAGCATTTACAATTATTACATGATTATGATATGTTAATGATGTTTGAGTGTGGTATACGTGGTGGAATAACACACATATCAAAAAGATATGCGGAAGCAAATAACAAATATATGAAAGATTACAATCCTGATAAGGAGTCTAGTTATATACAATATCTCGACGCAAACAATCTTTACGGTTGGGCAATGTCTCAACAACTCCCAACACATGGATTTAAATGGATGAAAGATATAACAGAAGAAAAGGTAGTGGAAATTCTAGAGAAAGCAAATCATAGTATGTTTAATAAAGGGAAAAAAGGATATATATTTGAAGTTGATTTGGAATATCCTCCTTACCTATGGGAAACACATAATGACTATCCTTTAGCACCAGAGAAGATGATTGTAAATGGTGTTGAAAAGTTAATTAGTCATTTTAAACCCCGAAAGAATTATGTTGTGCATTATCGTACTCTTAGACAATGTCTTGAGTTGGGTATGAGAATAACAGCTGTTCATAGAGGAATATCATTTTATCAGTCTCCTTGGATGGAACCATATATCAGAAAAAATACTGAACTTAGAATGCGTGCAGCCAACAATTTTGAGAAAGACTTTTTCAAATTAATGAATAACTCCGTCTTTGGTAAAACAATTGAAAACATAAGGAAAAGACAAAATATACATCTTATTGATAATCGTAAGAAAGCTGTCAAACTATCAAGTCGACCAAACTTTGATAGAGTGACAATATTTGATAAAAGTCTTATAGCGGCACATACGAAAAAGACAGAAGTGTATTTTAACAAACCAGTATATGTTGGTCAAGCAATTCTAGATTTATCAAAAACACTAATGTTTAATTTTCATTACACATACATTAAAGAGAAATATAAAAATAAAGCAGAATTATTGTTTACAGATACGGATAGTCTATTGTATGAGATTAAAACAAAAGATTTTTATCTAGATATATGTCCTGATGTAAGAGATAAGTTTGACACTTCAGATTATCCTTCAAATCATAAATCTGGAATACTAACAGGAGCTAATAAAAAAGTGATTGGAATGTTTAAAGATGAAGTAGCAGGAAAACAGATAACACATTTTGTTGGATTGCGACCCAAACTTTATAGTTTTAAAATTGAAGAGGAAAGGGAAGTACGTAAATGTAAAGGAATAAAAAAAAATGTTGTGAAAAAGAAATTAGATTTTGATGATTATGTTAAATGTCTATTTTCAGGTGAGAAAGAAATGAGAAGTATGAAAATAATAAGAAGTGAAAAACATGATATATATTCTAAAGAAGTTAACAAAATAGCCCTAAGTAATGAAGATGATAAGCGCATTGTTTTAGAGGATAAAGTGCATACTTTGGCTTTAAGATAAATAAGAATAAATAATAGATGTCTTATACAGAAGAAGAAATAAAAAAATATTTAGCTATACTTTATAATTATAAAAATCCTATTCAGCAAGTTAGTAAAAAAGCACAATGTTCAAATTGTAAAAATACTGAATTTTTTACAATAGATTCTGGGTACAAAATTTGTGAAGAATGTGGTACAGAAAATGGTCATGTATTAGGATTATTTGATGTAAAAGATTTGGATAGGTTGTATTATAGAAAAAAGAGTATTTATCAAAGGAAATACCACTATGAGAAAAAGGTAAATGAAATTTCTAAAATAATAAACCTAACTGATGAACAAAAATGTGAACTTTACGATAAACTAACAAAAATAGATAATCATATCATGGAAATACTAAATAAGCAATACTTAAGAAAGAGAATGATAAATATTAATTATTTAACCAAAAAAATTTTGGAGGAGATGGGTTGTGAAAAGTATAAACTTATTGAACTTAAGATTAGCCCTCAAACTTTAGAGATTTATGAAAAGTGGTGGGATAGTTATAAAGGCTTAAAAAAATAAATATTATTAATAAAATGCAAATACAAATTAATCCTCACTCATTGTTAAATCTAGAACATATCTGTGAAGTGTTGTATAAACTTCATCCATCTGTTTTAAATTTCTTGGTTGAAATGGAAAGATCTTTGGGAAAAATACTTGGTTTTATAGACTGCAACAATATGTCATTAGAAGAAAGAAAATTCTTAGCTAATATTGGTGAGGAAGTAGATTACTCAAAGGAACCTGAGGAACCAAAGGACCAAATTAAAATAATAAAGGGGTTGAAAAAAGACCAAGACGGTATTCGTTTTCATAAGCTAAGAAAATATATTCAACTAGATACTGATGAATATATTCCTATGAAAATTTATGTTGAAGTTGAAGATCCTGTAATAGGAAGAAAACTAAAAGAATTGGTTGAGGCACTTGAAAAAACTCGTGCTCCAGAACAATTTTATTATAACAAAAAAGAAATAGATGAAAATGCTTATTTTGCTGAAGGCTATGGTCTTACAATGAATGAGGAACAGAAAAAAAAATTTGATGATTTCTTTTGGGGTGAGGATGCTGAAGGTCTTGAAGAACTTTTAAGAAAGGAAAAGTTATATCCATAATTTTTTTATATTTCAAAAATATAAAAGGCTCCAAGTGGTACTCCTTAATTTAATATAAAATTGAATTATAAGCTTAAAGAAATAAAATATAAAATAAAATGGAAAACACTTTAGAAAAAGTTTTTATTAATAGACATCTTGGAATAAAATTTAACTCATACATTGATGAAGACTGCAATGTTTGGTTTAAGGGAAAAGAGGTTGCACAAATACTTGGTTACAAAAAAACACGTAATGCAATAGAAAAACATGTAAGTAAAAAATATAAAAAGGAGGCCCCAATTCAGGGCCCCCTTGGAGGAGAACAAAATTGTATAATAATTAGTGAAGCAGGTTTTTATGAACTTGTTTTCAAATCTAAACTTCCAACAGCTATTTTTTTTAGAGAATGGGTTTTTGATAAAGTTCTTCCATCTATTAGAAAATATGGTTACTATAACAAATTTAAAAAAGAAAATAAAAGATTAATTATAGTAGATGGAGTAGAATATTATAAACATCAAATATTTTCTGATTATGCAGCAAATAAAGATGGAGATATTTACTCTCTTAAAAGAAAGAAAATAATAAATAAAAATAAAGATTCTAATGGATATTTATTTTTTATTATTTGCAATAAAAAACTAGAAAAACAAAAGTTTTACTATCAACATAGATTTGTATATGAGGTTTTTTGCGGACCAATTCCACATGGTTTTGAAGTTGATCATATTTTTCCTGTGAAGAGTGATAATAGAATTAAAAATTTGCAACTACTCACTCATAAGCAAAATATTGAAAAAAGTAAAAATAAGGCAATAATTTCTACTTGTATTAGTACTGGTAAAGAAACAAGATTTATATCAATTAAAAAAGCTGCTAAAGAATTGGATATTAATTCTACTTATATTTCTAACATTTGTTGTAAAAGAAAATCTTATAAATCAGCAACTTCAAAGAAAGATAATCAAAAATATACCTTTAGTTACTTATGATTAAATATTAACACTAATATTTAATCTATATTTTCAAATTTATTTTTATACTTCTCTACAAAGTTATCCACACTCGATGGACATTGATCAATTATCATTTCATCCAGAATCTTAATACGATCTATAAATTCTTGTTTATACCACTCATCACCTCTGAGCGCCGATCGTAATTCAACAAGAACTTTTTCATAAGTGGTAAAAGCCAGTTTTGTTGTTTCTATCTTCTTTTTAAAATCCTTCTTTTTTGTAATTCCAGCCACTATTACTCCTACTCCATTTATTACTCCAAGAATAATAGGATTGAGTGTTATTCCTCCTGTTACAGTGCCAACAGCAATAAGAGATAAACTAGTAATAGTAAAAAAATTATCTAAAAATTTATAACTTTTATAAGATTTTTTATAACACCAATGTTTTTTATGGTAATGTTTATAAAGGTCTGTTATAGTTTCTATTTGCTCTTCTGATAAAGATTTATCAATATGATTAAATTCAAAAATACTCTTTCTTTTCATTTATTATTTACGTTATATAACTTCCACTTAACTTTTCTTGAAGCATTACTTTGTGAAATTGCTCAGAGCTGATGTCGTAAAATTTTGGGGTGTACATTAATCTTAATAACACTCCATCTTCAGTTGTAAACTTCCAAAGTTGATTAACACCGAAATTAATAGATGGTATAGTTAATGTTCCGCTGTAGTTACTTATTGAAACTTTTGTAACATATGAACTAAGATTTTCTGTTAGCCATAAAACAATTTTTTTTCCATTAAAACTACTTGGCATGGTAAAATTTTGAGTTGTTTTGTTGACGGTTAAAGTTACTTTATTGTTTGTTTTATTATAATCCAATTTTACTAAAAAATTATTGTTTGTTGATAAATATTTAGTTAGGGTAAAACTCCTATTTCTCCAATGACTAAAAACAATACATAAAGTAGCTGTTTGGGAATATGAAGGACTAAATTTAACATCGTAACCGTTAACACTTAATCCTTTTTTTGTTATTTCACTTAGGTCTTTATTTGGTGGTAGTGTAATATTAGGTTTCAAAGAATTAATAATAACTCCATATGAACCTATATTTATTCCATAACTATCCGCATCAGAAAAGTCATAGAACTCACTAAAATATTTTTTGTATAAAGCATTTTTGGTAAAAGGAATTAACTCTTTTACCATTGCAACTGTTGCAACACTATTATCACTGTTTCTGTCAAGTTTGATATTTTTAATTTCTTTTTGATTTGCATTAATATCAACATTATACACTACTTCTGTTGGGTGAATATCAAATGCGGTGTGATAATCGTAAACTTTATCTGAATCGATATTGCTAAATGTGCCCTTAATACCATAAGCAACCAGGTAAACCCCTGAAAACTGATTTGGATACGCATTCAGATTATATCCACCCTGAAGAATATCAACCAAAATGTGAAGAAAGAACTTATTACCAGATGACAACTTTCGAAAATTAACTATTATTCTGTGGTAGTACATTGTACTTGATTTCCCTTGTGTATTAGTATAACTATGGGACAACTTTTTTACACTAACATTTCCAATTGATAATCCTTTTGAAGTTCCTTTGTCAACACTTATTTTACTATTATTCCAAAGATTATAATCAGTGTTGAGTATTTCCAAACATAACGTGTAATCTGTATTTGCAGCTAGTCTGTAAAAATTAATTCCCATCTTGTACTTGTATTTACCTTGAGAATTTTTGATTATAGTCATGTAAATAACTTTGTGGTTATAGTCATGAAAATTACCTTTAGAAGTAGATAAGTCGTCTATCTTACTTAAAATAAAACTAACTCCTCCATCTATTTCATCAGTCCATTGAGACCCACTTGCCATAAGATAAGCAAACTCATCTTTATAATGGCTTGGTTGAACAGCAGTAAGATGAACAAGATTGTCAACATAACCTTTGGTTACTGCTTCATTGTCTTGGGTTGGTCCACCCAGATTATTTATTTTATTACCACCAAGGTTGATGTCAGCTTTTACGACCCCACTTATTACAATTTTAGGTGTGTTGATTTCTATTCTCTTAAGTGGTTTGGTTATTGCTTTTGGTAGATCAGTGAATAACCGACAAGTGATAGCTGTGTGATTTCAATTGTTATGAGTTCTTAGTTTTACTCCTGACATATCATAACTCCAAGACTTGTTAATGTTTAATGACCAAGTGCCAGTTCGATTTCCACTTATCCAAAAGTTAGAATTGGAATGGGAGTCATCTCTAGGAATAAACCACAAAAAGTCAACGTTTATATTTCGCGAACCAAATTGAAATTCTATTTTGTTAATGTATGTGTTAGCAGTTGGTGTCCATCCTACAAGAGGTTGACCAGGTGCTGATGTTGTAAAAACAAAATCATCAAATGATGAACCTGAGATATATTGTAGATACAAATTCGTGGGCGCAGCTGGATCTGTTATAGTAAACACACCACTTGAGGCGTCTCCAGAATGATGATCAAGGTGGTCTATTTGTTTACGAACCCATCCACGATTAGCAGCTTCTTGATCTGTGGTGGGGTCACTGAGGTTAATTATTTTATTATTACCAACATTAAGATTACCAGTCATTGCTTCTGTTCCATCTTTTTTTAACCTCATATCTAAACGATGATCCACATAAACTTTTGTAGCTGCATCAGTATTATTTTTTGGTTGTCCTAAACCTTCAATAAGATTATTAGCCATATTTATGTTACCAAGCATTGAATTTGTTCCATTTAATCTTAATGAAGAATTATCTACATACCATTTTGTTGCAGCATTATGATTATTAGTAGGATCTGCTAAATACTTTATTTTGTAAAAAACATTAGGTGAACCTGGTGTTCCCATATTTAAATTGCCAGTCATAGTATCACCACTTTTTTTAAGAAAAGGAGTAACATCTACTTTATTTGCTGTTACAGTATCATCTACATATTTTTTATTAGTTCCATCTCCATCATTTGTTGGTGGTGGTAAGTGAATTATTTTTTTGTTATCCATGTTTAAATTATTAGTCATTTTATTTGTTCCAGCAACATGTAAATATTTCAAATCTGTGAAAGCCAGTGGTGTTGGTTGATTACCACCATTTGGAGCTGGTATGTTTAATATTCGATTGTTGTCCATATTAAGATTTCCTTTCATTGGGTAAGATCCATCTCTGTCAAGAAATGTGTTGTCTACGTAATATTTTGTAGGAGGTTCATGTGTGTCCACTGGTGTTTTAAGATTTGTAATTCGGTATGTATCTTTCATATTGATGTTTGAATCAACTGTTAGTCTTGATGTTGAGGGTGTTCCACTGGAATTATCATCAACATACTTTTTTGTAGCAGCATCAGTATTAGTACTAGGTGCACCAACATTTCTTAGTTTTTTATTTACCATATCATAATCACCACTTGAAGTGAGATTAAATCCAACTCCTGGTGCGCCTTGTATTCCCCTTGCAAAGGGATGATCAAGAGATTGTTCATTAAATATACCCATTTTAATTATTAGGTTAGATTACCAGTAAAGTTTTTTGCAATATGTTTTCTTGGTTTATCAACGTATAGAAATGAATATGGTTTTTTAGTTGCTGCATGGTAATCTTGTTTACTTACTCCCAACTCAGATGATATTCTGTTGGCTTCCCTCGATGATGGAAATTCATACAGGCAGTAATGAGAACAATTCAACCGAATATCCTTGGGTGTTTTATAAAACGATTGACTGAGATACACCACCGAACAATTTTTATGCCGTCCTTGAATGAAATAATCAATCAGTTGTCTCTGGTTTTTATCACAAACGTAGTCATCAAATATTACAAGTTTTTGGTTGTCTTCATAATTCATTTCTGTCACTGGTGTTATTTCATCATTACTTACATGAAGTATTTCATATCCCAATTTATGACTCAACTCCCTCATTTTTTGAATTAGCTTTTGATACTTATCCTGTTCTAAATTACGCGCGTAAAGATAAATTTCATTATAGTATAGTAGAGGTTTAATTAACATATGATACAACAGATTAGTTTTACCACTTCCACTGTTTCCACATATTAACATCCGAAATGTATCTTTGGGCATGTAATGAAATAACTGTTTATATTTTTTATCTGGGTTATCACCACTATCATAATTTGGTATTTCCATTTTTTATCTATTGATTAAATAAAATGGATATTGAAGAAGCTAGAAATTTTGCAATAAGTAAAATTAAAACTGACAGTCTAGCTCAATACGTTAAAGATAAAATAAAAAAGACAAATTGGAAAAAACAAGATTATTGGGAGGGATTTAAAGAGGCATATAAACCATTTTTTTTATCTCAAGATAGTATTAAAAAAAGTATTGATCAGCAGCAAGACGCAACTATAGCACAGCTTCAAGCTAATCAACTTGCTCTTACAGAGGCTCTTAGAGCTAATCGATTTGCTATTACAGATAGACTTAGAGATAATCAACTTGCTTTTAGAGAGGGGCTTAGGGAGGGATTTAGAGATAATCAACTTGCTTTTACACAGGGACTTGAGGGAATTAGAAATAATCAACTTGATCTTGCAGAGGGTATTTTAGATAATCAACTTACTTTTACAGAGGGGCTTGAGGGACTTAGAAATAATCAATTTAATCTTACACAGGGGTTTGATGGTTTTAGAGATAATCAACGTGCTTTTACAGATGAACTTAGAGATAATCAACGTGCTTTTACAGATGAACTTAGAGATAATCAACATGCTTTTAGAGATAATCAACTTGCTTTTACAGATGAACTTAGAGATAATCAACGTGCTTTTAGAGAGGGGCTTAGAGATGGACTCAGAGAGGGTCTTAGAGATAATCAAAATGCTTTTGCAGAGGAGCTTAGAGAAAACTTAGAAAGAATGAATGAAAATATTTTAAGATTGAATGAAATGAGGGAAGGTGAATCATTAACAGAAGAACCTATAACTAATACTGAAATAAATCTTAATGAAGATGAATTAGAAACATTGATTAATATGGGTTATCCAAGGCCGAATGAATTTAGCTTTTTTAAAACTAAATTACTAAAAAATAAAATACAATCAGATGTAAATAAAAATATAGAAAAAATATTTGATCTAAGTAGAATATCTCCCAGAACACAAGATGAAGAAGAAGAATTAAGAGCTGCCCAAGAAGAGGAAAATTTACTATATAAATACAAAAAAGTTGTGAATAATTATTTACGTTCATTTGGTTTTAAAAATTACTACTATGGTTTTAATTTTGATGATGAAGATATGGAAATATTGTTTAATATGGGCTACATATCACCACATAATATTTATGGAAGTCCACCTGAAATAATTAAAGAACTAAGCAATAAAGTGGATAAAGATTTACTTAGTATTTATGATCAAAGAAATGAAATACTAAGAAAAGAGAATAAAACCGAAGATGATAATAAAGAAATAAATGCTTTTACAATTTTATCAGATTTACTAATTAAATACAGTAAAATTCTTAATATTTACTTAGACACAGCTGAAAAATATATAGCTGTTTTAGCGAATAGATAATTACCCCCATTCCATTTTTATTTAATCAATAAATAAAAATGGATATTGAAGAAATTAAAAAATTTATAAGAAATAAAATTGAAACTGATAATTTAACTCAAAAGGTAAGAGATGTAATAAAAATAACCAAGTGGAAAAAACAAGATGTAAGGGAAGGATTTAAAGAGTCATTTAAACCACTTATTAAAGCTCAAGATAAAATTAGTGAAAGTATTAAAGAACAGAAAGATGCAACTATAGAACAACTTAAAAATAATCAACTTGCTCTTACAGAGGGTCTTAGAGCTAATCGACTTGCATTAACAGAAGGATTGAGAGCAATAGGAGAATTGCCAGAACCGGAAATTTATGAACAAGAAAAAGAAGGACCATCTAAAGAAGGGCCGTCTAAAGAAAAAACACCCATAAAATTAAACGTTGAAAAAGATTTGAGTATAAATGAGATAAATAGATTGTCTGATATGGGGTATGTAAGGCCAAATGAATTTGGAAAGACTGACCCACAAAAACTTAAAGATACTAATTATGAATTGAAAAATGACATAAAAACAATTACAGGACAAATAAATGGTTTTAAAAGAAAGAAAGAAAAAACTGAAGAGGATAAATTAAGAATAGAAATGTATGAAGATCAAAAAAATTTAATGAAAAATTACCAAAAAATTCTTGATCTTTTTTTAAAATCGATTGAGTATCAAACAGGTAAAGGTATTTACTTTAACAACCCCCATCAACTTCTAGACAGACTTGAATTACTCAGTGGTTCAATTCTTGCTGGGAATAATGGTGTAATACCTGAGTTTTCTCTAATAGCACATCTTCTCAACAAAATGAAAGTGATCACAAAAAAACAGCTAAATGATCTATTAAAAAATTATATATAAGGGGAACCTACGGTTCCCCTAACACCCCTCCCTCTCAAAATAATATACTTACTAAATAAAATGCAAGAACGAGCTATCCACATTTCCTCAATAAACAGAGAAAAAAGAGGAGTAAGCAGACCTGGTGATTTTACTATTAAGTTTAATCCATCTCTGAAACTTGACCCCGAAAAGAAACATCAACTTGCTCTTGATCGGTTGTCCATGACATATTCTTGGTACAACATTAGAAGTGATTATGGAAACAATAAAATTAAATACACCCATGATGGAAGGAGTTGGCAAACAATTACTTTTACAGATGGAATGTATTCATACTCAGATATTAATGATTACATTCATCAATATATGACTCAAAAGTCTCATCACTCAACAGATTCGGGTGGAAAGAAAACTTATTCAATCAATCTAACTTTTGTACTATCTACCTATCGAGTGTTAGTATCACTTAAAAGTAATTATCAACTTGATCTTAGAGGAACAGATTTTGGAGACCTAATTGGATTTGAAAAGAAACTTATTACAGAAACAGAGTATGGAACAAAACTACCAAATATAACCAATTCTATTGATGTTTTGAATATTAACACAAGCGCAATAACTGATAGTATTGTAAATGGAATAAACACAAATACCATTGCTGTGGTACCAACAGACAATCTCACAAGGTCTTTTCCATTTACATTTGAACCTAGAAGGCCTTTATATTGCCCAGTCTCTAGATATCATATTGATGAAATTAGAATCTATGTTACAGACTCACTTGGAAGACCGGTAAATTTTAATGGTATAGATTGGTTTATGACTCTAATACTTCACTCAATGTAATGGGGGGATTGCATCCCCCCAAAACCCCCCTGCTGCTACGCTAATAATCATTTTGTATAATTATTAAAATAAAATGGCTCGCCAATCAGAGTATAAAAAGAGACTTAACCCTGAATCAGGGAAATTTACAAGACAACATATCTATGGAGAAGGAATAACAGATATGTTTAAATCATTTGGTTCAAAATTATTTGGAAAGACAATGAAAAAAGCTGCTAAAAAGGGTGCTCAAAAAGCGATAACAGCAGCTGCAACAAAAACTGGTGAACATGTTGGTAAAAAGGCTGGTGATAAAATAGTGCAAATGTTATCAAACGGGGGGGTTGCACCCCCCCGAAACCCCCCTGCAAAAAAAGTTACTTTTAATAAAAATGTTGCAATAATACCAAACACTCAAAAAGAGATAAATAAAAGAGTAAATGCCATTCTTAGTGGAGGTTCAACACATAATAAATTTATATAATTATTAAAATAAAATGAAGTCTTTTAGAAATCCAGAATATTTAGAAAGATATGAAGATGTTGTTTTTGACCTTGAACAGGCTTTAGCAACACCTGGAAATAATGCTCATCAAACTAAAACAGGTCATAGATTTGTTGCTGATAACACAGGAGAAGCTACTCCTTTTGATTGGTATAATGCGCGATTTGCAGTAGATTTCAAAGTTAATCAGCTGGCTAATGGAGCTAATATAGATGCAGATGGAGATCAAATTGGAATAGTAAATGGAAGTAGTTCTCTTATAGAAAAGTTATCCATCCTGGCAAATGGTCGAGATGTTTACAGTTGCAACTATGCTAATCATATAGTAAATATTAAGAATTTGCTTGAGTATAATCCATCTTATGTAGAGAGTGTTGGCACAAATGAATTTTACTATCTTGATACAACAAGAAATGCTGAAAGAAATAAATTCACAAAAAGGCAAGTAACTCACAGACGAAATGCAGCTAATAACGCTGATGAAGCAGGATTGATGATAGATGATGTTGAAGCTGATTATAACAGAGGTTTTGCAGTTAGAAAAGCACTATTAGGTGACTCAGCAACAGTAAGATGTGAAATTCCTCTTAACAGATATTCTTTCTTTGAATCATTAGAGGATAAACTTCTTCCAAATACAAAAATTGAATTGAATATTGAACTAGAATCAGATAACAATCTTATCTGGCGAGTTGGAGGAAACAATTGTAGAGTTATACTTACAAGATTTCAATTATTTATACCAAGAATAACATTTAACAAAAAAGGTCAAGAAATATACTTGCAAAATTATCTTAAACCTTATAAATGGAAGTATTTAAATGAAGTAGTAGAGCGATCAAATAACACTCAACAACAAACAGGACAATTTAGAATAACGAATGCAATCTCAAAACCTCGTCATGTTTTTGTTTTTGGAATTAACACAGCTAATATTAATACACAAACAGAAAATCCATTTTTATACAATACTTTTAGTTTACCAAATAATGCTAATATATCTCGCTGTCATCTCGAGGTTGGAAATGGAAATAATTACCCTGATATTCATTTTAGACCAGCTACAGATCCAGCAAGAGTTTTCAGAGAAGTAATGGGTTATGTTTACGCAAATAACGACTTTCAAGGTGGAACACTTCTTAATAGGTCAAATTTTGAAAATCTTTTCCCTTTTATTTATTTTGATCTTACAAAACAAAAAATGGATATCAAAGATGGAGTTACAAAACTATCGTTTCATTATGAATTATCCGCCAACCCAAACGCTAATTATAATATTTACGCTATAGTGCTTCACGAAAGAGAAGCAGAAATTGAACAGGAAGGAGGAAAACTATTACTTAGAGCATAGGAAGCTACACCACATATGATTTAATATAATCATTTTAATAAATGACTACTTATTTTGAATATGGAGTAAAACTTACAGATGGACAAAAGTTAAAACTTGTAAGTGCAATCAGAAATAAATCACCACTAACTCTTAGAATAAAAAACTCTCATCTTCAAGGTTCTGATGAGTTAATGCTAACCCAAAGACAAATAAATAAAATAAAAAAATCACTAGCAAATGGCACAGGATCTGATATAAAAATAAGTAAAACTCAAATTAAACACTCTGTAAAACAAGGAGGAAGTTTATTTTCTTCACTCGCATCTCTTGGAGCGCAAGTACTACCTTACGCTATAAAAGGAGTTTCAAAAGCTGTTCCTGCATTAGCAACTGGTGCTGCTACTGCACTTGGAGAAATTGGATTAAATAAGATATTTGGAAGGGGGGGAGGCACTCCCCCCCAAACCCCCCTGCTAAAAAATGGAATAACAATTCCCCCACAGTTTTTCCCAATGTTACCACCTCTTGTAAGAGAATTTACCAAATCACAAATAAATCAAATTAACAAAGCTTATAAAACAGGTGGGCGATTGGTTATAAAACCAACTCATAAACAGATAGAAGGAGGATTTCTTGGAACTCTTGCATCTATTGGAATCCCAATGGCAATTAGTTTAGTATCTAAGATGTTTGGTGGGGGACTTCAGGTTGATAGACGTGGATCATCTAATACATCAAATGTTTACGTTCCACCTCCTCCTCCTCCATCCACACATGGTGAAGGTTATCCTTATTACCCACCACCCTTTATTGGTACATGGTCCAACCCAATTGGAATGGGGGTTAAAAAAAAAAAGCCCAAATCCAAAGGTTCAGGACTACTACTAGGAAAAAACAGCCCATTCAACTCAATTCCCATACTAGGAAACATTTTGTAATGGGGGGAGTGCCTCCCCCCAAAACCCCCCTGCTCACTTCCTTTGTTATTAAACCTCTATCCAACTTTGACCTTATGGAATGGATAAAAAGACTTGGTATTAATCATTTTAGAGGAATTTACAGTAGGGATGGACTACCTAAAAAGATTAGAAAAGAATGTGGAATAATTAATCTAGATGATATAACAGGTCCTGGAACACATTGGGTTTGTTATAGAAATATAGACAATGTAGTTGAGTACTTTGATCCTTTTGGTCTAATAATGCCAAATGAAGCACTTGAGTATTTTCATACTTCTGGAAAACGTATAGTTTACTCAATGGATGAAATACAAAATCGCAATACTGTTCTCTGTGGTTATTGGTGTTTATATTATCTGTTTGAGAGACAGCGGGGTAATAGTATTCTAAATGTAATACATAACCCACATTTCGATAATGACAACAGCGATTTTATAAAAGCATACTTTGGAGGATAAAAATAATATTTATTAAATATTATTTTTTTATTCACTATCTTCTGGTAAATTTTTTAGTTTCTTAACACTCTCAACTTTTTTATTTAAATCTTTAACACTATCAACTATTTCATCAAATTTCAAATAAATTTCAATAAGACGAAAAAGTTTATTCTTTTTATCACTATCTATTTTCAACCAAGAATATTCCTCATTTTGAATTTTTCCCCAAATCTCACATTCACCACCCATTAGTATTCTAGAAAGATCATCATTACTCTTTCTAAGAGTTTCAAACTCATTTACTATTTTTTTTCTTAATTCTTTCTCAAAATCTTTGAGTGTTTTAACATCCATCTTTTTTTCTATCTCAGAAAAGAATTTGGCTTCCATTTATTTATATAAATAGATAATTAGATCTATTAGTCATATTTATCTAAACATTATATTAAATGAAAGAATCATATTGTATTGTAGATAAAAGAGTAACTCCTTGCATAGAGCCAAGTGGTTACCAAACTGATAAAAGAGGTAGAACTCAATTCTTTTGTAGATGCGCAGTTTGTGGAAACAAAAAAGTTAGATACGTTAAAACTGGATCAGCTTCTCAAACTGGAAGTGGTAAAAAGAGAAAAACAAAAAAGAAGTCAAAAAACTAATCAGCCCGTCTGAAGGGGCGGGCGTTTTTGATACTGTTGTTGGTACTGCAGTTGATGGATTTGTTCATTACGGTTTACCTTGGATGGGTAAAAAAGCAGTTGAAATGGGGCGATATGGAGCAAGCGAGTTAATGAGAAATAAAAATCTTCAGAAGAAAGCTGTAAATTATGGGATTAGTAAACTCACTCCATTTATTCAAGATTCTGTTGGAACAGCTATGGATCAGTTATCAACCAAAGTGAGACCAAATAAAAAGTATAAAACTGATAGACCAGAATTAGATGGAAAAGGAATAGATATTCACAATGCTATTCTCAAAGTGGCACCAAAAAAAGGTTTCGTTTTACCAGGTCATAATTATACCGGTCCTGGTAATCCTCTTCATAATCAACTACGTCATGATGATAATGGAAATATATTAGAAATCTACCAACAACCAACAGGACCAACTGATGCAGTTAGTATGCAACATGATGTGGATTACACAGTTTGTGGAAATAAACCAAAAAGTGAACAAGTAAAATGTAAAAATGAAGCTGATAGAAAAATGATAAAATCACTAGATTCCATTCCTTGGAAAAATAGATAATGGGGGCATACTATGGCTAGAACTATGATAAATACAAAACAAAAACTTGGAATGGGTTTAAACGCGAGTCGGCGTTGAGTAGTGATTGGTCTCAACAATTAGCCGACGAACTTCACAAACCAATCACAAGAAACTTTCAAAAGAGAACAGTAATCTCAAACGGGATTGATGAAATCTGGGCTGCTGATTTAGTTGAAATGCAAAAGTTTAGTAAGTGGAATAAAGGGATAAAATATCTTCTAATGGTAATAGATGTGTTTAGCAAGTATGGATGGATAAGGGGGCTAAAAGATAAGAAAACTGAAACTGTAAGTAAAGCATTTGATGATATATTTAAAAGTAAACGTAAACCTCAGATGTTATGGACAGATAAGGGTTCTGAGTTTATCAGTAAACATTTCAAAGAGTTTCTAAAAAGAGAGGGAATCAAGTTGTATCACACTGAAAATGAAGAGAAATCAAGTGTTGTTGAGCGATGGAATAAAACAATGAAAAATAGAATGTGGAAGATGTTTACTGTGAATAACAACACTGTTTACTGGGATAAGATAGATAATCTGGTTAATGACTACAATAATTCGAAACACTCTAGTATAAAAATGACTCCTGTTGAAGCAAGTAAAAAGAAAAATGAAAGTAAAGTTTGGTCTAATTTGTATGGTGATTTAATTTACTTGAAACCTGGTAAATCAAAATTTGTGGTTGGTGATCGTGTTAGAATTTCTAAGTATAAGAGAAAGGTATTTGATAAAGGGTACACACCAAACTGGACAGAGGAGATATTTGTAATTGATAAAGTTTTAGAAACAAAACCTATTACTTATAACATTGTTGATTTGATGGGAGAAGATATTAAGGGTTCTTTTTATGAACAAGAATTACAGAAAGCAAAACAACAAACATTTAGAATAGAAAAGATTATTAGGAGGGATAATAAGAAAAAAATGGCGTTAGTAAAATGGAGTGGATATCCTGATAAATTTAACTCATGGGTAAGTTTGAAGGATTTGGTTGATTTTTAATACAAAATTTGTATTAAAAATAGTTATTTACTTATTTTCCTCAGATGAAAATAAGTCTTCAACTTCTTGATCAGTTATCCCTTCACTATCACTATCACTATCACTATCACTACTTTTTTCATCAATTGTAAGTAAACTCTTTCTAGGTTCTAATGGTTTGATATAGCACTCGTGTACTTTTATTTGTAATGATGTTACAGTCTTACTAATAAATATTCCTTCAATTATCAATGCTAATTTAACATTGCAGTACTGATTGATATATTTAAAAGGATTTAAATCCCTTCCCCCTTTCCCCTTAAACAAAGATAATATTTTCTTTGATTTTTCTGAGTAAATAAGTTTTGCGTAAAGAACTGGAGCTGATGATTCATCAACTTTTGTTCTCTTTTTTCCTTTCTTGTCTGTGTATTCTATTTGTTTATAGTAAAATGGTGAAGATAGAGATGATGCTAGATCTGGTCCATATTCATTCTCTAAATGTTGCTGAGATAGAGTTGTTACATTATTAATAACATCAAAAAATGCTTTTTCTTTATTACTAGGTTCACTATCTTTAGACCAAAGACATACTGGGATACTATAACCAACTAATTTACCTGTTTCTTGATTTTTCTTTTCATTAACACCAAAACTAAAAAGAACTGGAGATTCAACTACAAGTGGTCCTTTTTTGTTATTTTGATATTTGACTTCAATTGGAATACGTTTGTATTTAATCTTACTATCTTTGACTTTGTACTCTTTGGCTTCATTAAAGATAATATTCTCTTGGGTAATATTTTCGTAACTTGACAACTGCATTTTATTAATATTTAGTAAATCTTTAAATAACATTTCAATCTTATTTTTTAGGCCAGAGAAGATGAACACTCCAATAGTTTGATGATTCTGGATTATTATAAGTTAATTCTCCCTGTTTATTTTTAATCTTTGTAGCACGTGAAAGGTATTTATCTCGTCGATCTTTATCTTTGTGAATAGTGTAGTCTGGGTATTTGGATGACCCAAAGTGAACTTTCTTTCCACCTGGAAGTGTTGCCATGTATTTATTATTTTTCCGGGTTGAATAATCAAGTGATTCAGCACCAAGTTTTTTAGCGTTTCTGGTTAATCTCTTAAACTCTGGTCCTTTAAGAATAAATTTTTTGTTTGGAACATAATCTGGGTCCTCATCATGTCTATAACCATCATCAACTATAAAATCCAAATCCTCTTTTGTAGGAGTAGTTTCTCTTGATCTTGTTTCCATTTTTATTTGTTAATTATATTAATTATTCTTCAAACTTGTAACAAAAAATGTTATAAGTTTAAAAATCATTACTTTCACTTTCACTTTCACTTTCACTTTCACTGTATTCTATAATGTTAATCTTATCAAAAAAACAACAACCAACTTTGTAATCAGTATCAAATCTTGTGCCTTCGTAACATAATAATTTTGTTGCATTTTTAAACAAACCATCTATTTCTTCCCTTGCATCGTAATAACTTTCTTTTACATTAATTCTTTTAACTTTATTAAAAAATTCTTTTAAATCAATACTACCATCTTCCACTGATTTAACTGTTTGTGTGATATTTCTATCAATATCTTTGAATAATTGGTAATCATTTTCACTATCAAATATTAATCCTCCTACTTTGAATGTATTACAAATATTTGTTTTAAAACCCATTGTTATTTTATATTATTATTATATCATTTCTTTAATTCAATTTTATATTTTCTGTTTCTAAATAAAGTTTTATCTAATCATAGAGTAAGGGGGGGGGGGGGGGGG